TCCAAAAATGGAATGGAGTTATATTTAGGGTTTCTATTATATGCAAAATATGATCACTCTTTAAGTCATCCTTTAATGATTTAAAAAGTCATTAATATTTTTAAGAGATTGTATCATACTGTCCTATTAGTTTACTTATTACTTAGAACAGATCATTGTCCCTTTGTCTTTAGACTGCTTACAATTTTGGCAGATTCTATATCTGCTTTTAAGATTTACCTTATGTTTGCTGTTAGTGGTTTAAGTTAATCTACCATGTTTTCTATGAAGGAATACTAATGGGTTAAATCTGGGAAACAGCGTACCTTTATAATTGATAGAATCTAAAATTATTCAAATAATCTTGTGTGAGCATTTCATTATATCCTTAAATTCTCAAAAATAACACATTGCAACATATAGTCCAAATATGAAAAAGGTTATTTGCTCAGGTCCTATTAGCAAGAACTGAACCCACCCAGTCTCATATCAAAGCCCTTATCATTGCCACACTGCTACCCTGCCTAACTCTTGTAAAAAATCAAAATAAGAAAAATCTCTTGGTTGTACCATCAAGCAGGATCCTACAACTACTCCCCTTTACTTCTCATTCTCAACTCAAACATTCCTGTTGGGAAAGTGCAAGTTGCTATTATGTAGAGCACAGGGAAACAGGTTGATTATCTTTGGTAAAATCAGTGGAACTCTGCTAGAACTGCTTAACAGCAATGATAAAAGGTGCAGCATTACTTATGATTTCAAAGATAAGAGGCCTGTATCAGAAATAAATTTACTATCTAATTTCCAAAACTAAAAACAATCTAGAAATAAAGACAATTTCACAGAGCCGTATCACTACCAATAATCCTCATTTAACAAACTATGCACAAGAACAGTGTAGGAGCTCCCACCAAAAATAATGTAGCTGGTTTAAGGTCCAACATTACTTTATCAAATTCTTTTTTAATTTAAAAAAAATTTTTTTTAAATTTTTTGACAGGCAGAGTGGACAGTGAGAGAGAGAGACAGAGAGAAAGGTCTTCCTTTGCCGTTGGTTCACCCTCCAATGGCCGCCGCGGTCGGCGCACCGCACTGATCCGATGGCAGGAGCCAGGTGCTTCTCCTGGTCTCCCATGGGGTACAGGGTCCAAGCACTTGGGCCATCCTCCACTGCACTCCCGGGCCACAGCAGAGAGCTGGCCTGGAAGAGGGGCAACCGGGACAGAATCCGGCGCCCTGACCGGGACTAGAACCTGGGGTGCCGGCGCCACAAGGCGGAGGATTAGCCTAGTGAGCTGCAGCGCCGGGCATCAAATTCTTTACTGGTCTTTCACCTATTTTGCATGTTTAACTCAAGGGATACTATGGTACAATGGGAAAATAATTAAACTAAGAATCTGAAGGCTTCTAGTCTCATTCTGAATTTCACTGTCCTCTTGTGATTAGTGAACATATCAGTAAAAAAGAAGGAAAACATTAATAATATCCATGCTGCATATTTATATGCAAGTTCATTCAATATTATAAATATTATAATCAATACTGTATATTCTTTAGATTTTAACACTATTACAGACATTAAAAAATCTAGAGCCACACGTAGTTCAAATACCTCACTGTAGGAGTATGCTAAAGTTCATTATCATTAGTAACACTGATTTTTAGAGAAGACTATAACTCAACAAGACTATGACTACTCAGGAAGCTTTGAATGACTGCTGTCATTTATTTGCATTAACTGTACCATTCAGGTTAAATTGATGTTCACGATCCTCCAAATATATTATCAAAATATGACCTGAGAGAAAGAACCGTTATTTATGTTATGAAAAAGTAAGCCCCAGAAATGAAAAGTTCCAGCAAAATAATCTATAACTGTGTTTATATTACATGAATGATATGCTGTTTCTCCAAAATACCATGTAAAAAGTCAGTAACTCTGAAATGTGTAAAGTATTTCCATGTGCTTAGTAAGAAAACTATCCAAAACAAACAATCCTTAAGAAAGTTCTTATTATTTTATTTCCCTACCATCTGTTTTTGTCTTTTTTTTAATTCCACTCACCTTCTTTCTTTCAGTTGCCTGCCTATTGCTCATAGTAACACTTCTAAAAGAATAAGGCAGCAAAATTAGATACCCAGCTGGGAACTTGTACCAGATATTACTTGGCAATGACACAGTCCAGAGTTAAATATTTATGTGCATCAGCTTCTAAAGAGACTAATAATACATGTCTCAATGTAAATACTATTCTATAGTACCTTTTACCTATGCTTAAAGATTATCATTCAATACTCACCAAAAGGAAAACATGTTTAATTAAGATCATACACACATACATATATATATAGGCTTATAACTACTATAAGCCTTATTTTTATATATTTGTTTTTATCTTATATATATAAGTATACAGAAAATGTGTATATAGGTGCATGTGTAGGAAATGCCATTAGGAAGGATAAAAATCTGACAGTATGTAATGCCCCAATATAAAATATAATTTAAAAATTAGCACAACATAAGGGTATTTCAAAGAGTTTGTAGAAAAATAAAATCAAGATGTTTGGTGCAAAAAATTTTTGCAGTTTTATTCATAATGTGCATTTTCATGAACTTCTAGAAGCCCCCTTGTATGCATGATTTCCAATTTTTTTGTACCAGAATAAACTTATCTTTTTAATTTTATTTTCTATGAACTTTTTGGAGTACCACTGTATTACCACTTTTCACTAACAAAACAGCCCAGGTAGGCCCTCTTCAAAGAGGTATTACTCAGTTACCTGGCTGTACTAAAACAGGACAGCCTCTATCACTAGAGACAAAGAAAAACATATCCTCATGAGGACATAACAATTAAAACATAAACACACCTAAAAAGAAGTCCCAAATACATGAAGCAAAAAATGGACAGAATTGAGAAACAGACAATTCAAAAATAAACATCAGAGATTCCAATACCACACTTTCAGTAACTGACAGACGACACAGAAAAGAGATACAGAAGATTTAAACACCATCAATTAACATGATATAATTAATATCTAACAGACACTCTGTAAAACAACAAAGTATGATTTCCAGTATACATGAAACTTTCTATCCAATAGAAAATATATATGTCCAGAAAATAAGTATCAACAAACTTAAAAATACTGAGATTATACCAAGTATGCTCTCCAACCACAATAAAACTGAATTAAAAATCAAGAGTTGAAAATTTTGGAATCCATGAATATTAGGAAATTCTAAATAACCAATAGTAAAACAAACCACAATAGAAATTAGACAACATTTTCAACATAAAATAAAAACATACCGTATTTATGCAGCTCAAGAATGCACAAAAGGACGTGCAGTTTAAGTGTCTGTATTAGAAAAGAATATCTTGGGGCCAGCGTTGTGGCATAGCAGGTAAAGCATCTGCCTGTAATGCTGGCATCTCATATGGGCACTGGTTCAAGTTCCCAGCTGTTCCATTTCAGATCTAACTCCCTGCTAGTGTGCTTGGGAAAGCAGCAGCATATGGCCCAAGTCCTTTGGCCCCTTACACCCACGTGGGAGACCAGGAAGAAGCTTCTGGCTCCTGGCTCTGGACCAGCCCAGCTCCAGCTGTTGTGGCCATTTGGGGAGTGAATCAGCTGATGGAAAACCTCTCTTTCTCCTCCCCTTCCCTCTCTGTAAACTCTGCCTTTCTAAAACAGAAAAGAACATTTCAAATAATCTAAATTTTCTAAATTTTGACCTTAAACAATTAGAAAAAGAGCAAAGTAAACTCAGTTAATTGGAAGGAAGACTATGACAAATATTAAAAAGTGAATAAAACAGAAAATAGATAAACAACAAAGAAAACTCATTAAAACCAAGGCTGGTTATTTGAAATAATCAGCAAAGCTGCCACACCACTAAAATGAATGACCAAGGGGAAAAGAGAGGACACAAAACTACCTAAATAAAAAATGAAAAAGAGAACACCCTCTTGGCCTACAGAAATTCAACTTAGATAACACTGACCAATTCCTAATGAAGACTCAAATTACTTCATTAAGGAATAAAGAGAAGGGTGGGGGGGAAAGGTAAGGAAGTGTCTGAATGTACCTATAGTAAGAAAAGAAATCACAACACTAATTTGAAATCCTTCCATTAAGAAGGCAAAACAAGACAGAAAAACTGGTGAATTCTATTTAAAATTTCAAAAAGAAATAACATCAATCCTTCACATGTTCTTCCAGAAAATGGAAAAGGAAATAAAGCCAAAGAAAACCATGTTATAACATGGAAAAAGCATTAAAAACATTATGCTAAGTCAAAGAAGCTGGACTCCAGCCTACATATTCTATGATTCCATTAATAGGAAATGTGGCAGGGAAACTCTATAAAGACAGAAAGCAGAAAGGGCTGGGAATGCAAGCAGGAATTAACTGCCAACTGTCACAATGGATGCTTTCAGGCTGATAAGACTAAAATCTATCATAAACCTGCATCGTGGCTGCATAGCACTTTACATCTTTTTATTATTAATAAAATCATCATTACATCATTAGCCTCCAACAACTCCCTCCTCATTTTCTCTCACAAGCATTTTTAAACTAACATATATTCTACTCATCTTGGCATCTTTTTCTCAAACAGCAAGTATCAGTGCAATGTAAAACAGAAAAACAATTTTTAAGAAATGAATTAAAGCAAAACCTGGCTCTTTGACCTGAGAAAATTGAAAATCCTCTGACCAGACTGATCAGTGAAAAACTATAAATTACCAAACTCAGAAAGGAAAGAAGGAACATTACTGCTAGAGATCCTACAGGATGCTAAGTTTGCAAAGATCATAGATGTTTGGCTGGGTAAGTGCAGTAAGTCCATTTCTGACCTAACAACACTTACAATTTGCAGTGAGTTTATCAGGACATAACCACATTCTAAAGCTAAGGAGCACCTGTATTTGTTCCCTCTGTTGTCTGGCATATAGCTCTAAATCCCTTGAAGTCTCTTATGTGATAAATGTCTTTTCTTACAACAGGGTGACTGATGGCTGACCCTGGACAGCAACAGCATCAGCTGACTGCCAGAGCAACAAACTAAACAGAACACTGACACTTTCACCTTCACCGACTGACGTCCTGGGAGAGGAGAATGGCTAACAATTAAGTCAACCACTGACCATACCTAAGTAATGAGGCCTCCAGAAAACAACCAAAAGGACAGTGTCTGGAAGCTCCTGGGTTGCAGAAAACATGGAGGTGTGTCAGGACAGTGGGCTGCTGTTATGATGTATCACTGTCATGATTCCTGTAAATAAGTTAGCATTTTAATTATGACCAATATTACCATGCTTTTACAGAACAAACTCCATTTTGAGGCTTTTATTTTACAACAGAAGGTGTAACTGAGCCAAGTGGCTGGCTTTCAGTCACCTTACACCAGATGATGGACAGCCATACAGTCAGCTATGTATCAGTATGCAAATGGAATGGTGGGTATCTGGGTCTTTTCCCTCCAAGGTTGACATCTGAAAGCTGAGATAATATGCCTTTTGGGACTATAAATAGCTGTACCTTCAGGTTGCCACTTGAGCCACATCTCACTGCCTCCATTCTTTGCAAATATTCACTTTGAGTTGGTATCAAGTGCTAGAGGCTCTGTGGAGTGAACAAGACCTTTAAGTCACTGCTAATGACTTCATGGCTATCCACACCAGTTCCAGTGTCACCCTGCAGAAATTAACCTCCCAGACCCTTGGACTGCTTCTTCCCTGGACTCACAATGTTTGGTTCATTACAAGAACTGTGTGCTCCTGTGTTCACTTTTACCTGATTTTTCATATATTCTTTATCTTAGTTTTGCTTATTCTGCTTTTGTGTCTATTTCAATAAACTGACTAATTCATGACTAGCTTTGATTCACTTGACTTGTCATTTGATTAGAAAATAAAGAGCCTGACCTCTTAGAGAAATTAGAATTGAGGCTAAGGGCCAGCGTTGTGGCATAGCAAGTTGAACTGCCACCTATAGCACCAGCATCCATAGGGGTGCCGGTTTGAGTCCTGGCTGCTCCACTTCCAATCCAGCTCCATGCTAACGGCCGGGAAAACAAAAGATGGCCCTAGTGCTTGAGCCCCTGCCACCCATGTGGGAGACACAGATGAAGCTCCTGATTCCTGGCTTCAACCTGGCTCAACCCTAGCAGTTACAATCATTTGGGGAGTGAACCAGTGGATGGAAGAATGCCCTCTGTCTCTCCTTTTCTCTCTGTAACTTTGCCTTTCAAATAAATAAGTCTTAAAAAGGGAAAGAAAAAAAAAAAAGAATTAAGGTTAAAATCATCACCAGGTAGCACAGAACCTATTTTTGTCACATTGCACACTTGCCCAGAGAGGACATGGAAGCTCCATATTCCCTGCTACACACAGTGCCCTATGAATCTCTCCACTTTGCTGGTCATGTGTATCCTTCACAATATCCTTTCTAGTAAGCGGGTAGCAAACCTGAGCGTCTCCCTGAGTTCTTTGTGCCACTCTAGCAAATGACTGACCAGAGGAAGGGGTCATGGAAACCTCTCATCTATAGCCAGCTGATCAGAAGCACAGGTAACACTGGGGCTTCTGACTGGTGTCTGAAGGTGGGGGTGGGGGTAGGGAATTCTGGAACTGAGCCCTTAACCTTCTGGATCTACATTCACGCCATTTAGTGTTTGAATTGGGTTAAATGATGGGACATCTAGTCAATATCTGATGGAGAACTGCTCAATGTTAGTGGAAACACACACACACACAAATTTTGGCTACCAGAGGTATTCTATTTCAAGTGTACATAATAGGAGAAAATAGCTGTTTTTCCCATTATATATGGTAGACCACGTATAAAACATGTGATAAAAAATATGCTGTATAAAATATACAGCTAAGAGTCACAAACCCTACTATCAAGTGCAAGTCATTCCATGTTATAGTTTTTACTTATATCTGTACCCGTTTACCCTTAACTTTTATGATGGGCCAGATATCATAAGAATTTTATATAATTACTTCATAAAATATTCAATGACCCTGTAACATCGGCACAATCTTCTTAAGAGCTGAGTAAATTAAGGCTTAAAGAGTTTAAGTGATCGTACAAGGTCATACAGCTAAATATATACAGATGCTCCTTAACTTAGGATGGTGTTATACCCGCCTATATCCATCAAAAATTGAAAATATTGTAAGCGAAAAATGTGTTCAGGAACAGGTATTCTGGTGCAGAGGGTTTAACTGCCTCTTGGAATGCCCACACTCCATCATTAGAGTGTCTGGTTCTGGTCCCTGCTGCCCCACCCTTCTGATCCTACTTCCTGTAAATGTGCCTGGAAGGCAGCAGACCATAGCTCAAGTACTCAGGTTCTTGTCACCCATGTTGGAGACCCAGAGGGAGTTCCTGGTCCTTGGGCTTGACCTGGCCTGGCCCTAGTTGTTGTAAGCATTTGGGAAGTGGGGGCATCTGGGAAATGAACCAGCAGATGAAAGATCTGTCTTTCCCTCTCTGTTCACTCTGCCTTTGAAATAAGGAAATGAATTATTTTTTAAAATGTGTTTAATATACTCCATCTACAAACACCAAAATGTAGCAAACAGGATAGTACAGGCCGTTCCCCCTCATGATCACAACTGTAGGGAAACTGCATCTTGCCGCCGCCGCTCAACATCACAAGAAGATATCATACCATATATCATCAGCCAAGAAAGAAACCATCAAACTTTGATAGCTTATATTAAATTCATGTTGCTTTTACACTATCATAAAGACAAAACTTATACATCAAACCATCATTAAGTCAAGGACTAGTTACATGTAATAGAATAGTCACAATTCAAACTTATAATACATCAACCTATTTTGAACAATTCTCAAAATAGCAAAAATCAAATTTGCAATTTTGAGGGGCTATTCATTTTATAAAAGGCTAACTTTAGGACATATTAAAGTATTCACCTTAGAATTATCTTATTTGTAACAACTATTTCATTTAAATTCTCGTTAAATCAAACATACATACATATAACCCTTTCAGAGATTTCAAAGGTGAAAATTCCAATATACCACAACGGCACTGAAATAACATAAAATAACTGGAGATGCTTAAATGCTAAGAAAAAGTAATCACCTCATAATGACCAGCTAATGAGATGGCTTAATCATTTCTCTGTGGATCTTATAAAGATGTAAGGACTGATAAGACTGTTACTAACTTAACTTGCACTTCAAAACACATTTACAGACTAAAACATATTTTTATTCTTTTTTTTTTTTTTATTTGACAGGTAGAGTTATAGACAGAGAGAGACAGAGAGAAAGGTCTTCCTTCAATTGGTTCACCCCCCAAATGGCTGCTACGGCCGGCGCTGTGCTGATTCGAAGCTAAGAGCAGGGTGTTTCCTACTGGTCTCCCATGTGGGTGCAGGGACCCAAGCACCTGGGCCATCCTCTGCTGTCCTCCCGGGCCACAGCAGAGAGCTGGACTGGAAGAGGAGCAACCGGGACTAGAACCCAGGGTGCCGGCGCCGCAGGCAGAGGATTAGCCAAGTGAGCCACGGCGCCAGCCAAAACATATTTTTATTCTAATACTCCATAGGCTAATACTATTAGCATTTTTATAAGACTTAATAAAGGACATCTGATTTTTTCAAATGCTACACCTTGATTTACTATCAAAGAGCAAATTATATATTAACAATAGAATTAATAAGTCAAGCTCTGCTCTTTATTTTTCAAGCAAAATGGTACAGCACTTATATTGCTTGGGACAAATTAATGGTTTTATAAAACATAACTGCTGGCTTTATATTATTTCTATTTTCTTACTTTATATACAAATGAGTATTAAATTTTTATAATACATTTTGAACATTGAGATAAATCTTCCAATGAGTTCAGAAGAATAAGTAATATCTGAAGCAAATAGTTAAGTACTATTTTTTGTACTCAGAAAAGCAGATTTATATGACAAATGAGCACTCTAGCTCTTTCTGATTCTCCCACAGACACTATGAACTAAAATTTAAAGACATTAATGTTAAACATTCAACAGCTTTCCCCTTTGGTAATGTATGGCTCGTGCCCCATACTACTCCCCAACAACCAACCATAAAGGGTCAAAAGTTACAACTAAAACAATTCCCAGGTTATCTTATGGCTCATTTATTCCCAGCTGGCATGCAAATAAGGTTTAGAAACACTATCAAGTCTAAAGAAATACTAAATTCTTAGCTTAGATTCTGTTTCCAAGTTTCTGAAATGACCAGTGTCTTTGCTTGTTATCGAAAAGCTGATTTTAGTTACCTATGAGTCTTTGTTGTGTAGATATTAGTGACAAATGAATGGAGAAGAAAAATTGTGTTTCTGTTTTTGAGATCTATTCACTGGCTTAACTAAGAATGATAAAATCAAAAATAGCTTTATTGATAATGGTGGGAAAAAATAAATTAGAACTGTTTGCAAAATGATGAGGAAATAAGAGATCATAGAATTTATTAGTGAGATCCAAACAAATCAGATTAAAATAACTAACACCCAGCCAACAAAGTTGCAATCCTCATTTTAAGAGTTCAAAAAGCCATCACCACAGAGAAAGCACAAATATACATAAAATGAGGTTTTTCCTATTCAGACATAAAACAGTGCTTAAATGGAAGTCTTAGACACTGGATTGACAATTTTTTACATAAATAATTTTTCTAGGACTCTACCGCACACAGAGTTTAATTCCTAGAAAATATATTCAAAAAATACATACATAGAAATATATTTCAAAAATTTTTTATTTCAAAAATAACATGTTATTTGTATTACTGTAGGACTATAACTAAAATATATTCACTTTCTCATTTCATAGTCATGATTTTATGCCTATATTTTTCTAAAGATAGCTTTTTTTTTAAAAGATTGATTTATTTGAAAGGTAGAGTTACAGAGAGAGGGAGAGACACAGAGAGATCTTCCATCCATTGTTGCACATTCCAAATGGCCATAACACCCGGACCTGGTCCAGTCCAAAGCCAGGAACCTAGAACTCCACCAGGTCTCCCACGTGGGAGGCAGGGGCCTAAATACTTGGGCCATCGTTCACTGCTTTCCCAGGGGCATTTCAGGAAGCTGGATCATAAGGGGAAGAGCCAGGACTTAAACCAGCACTGACATAGGATGCCAACATTGCAGACAGCAGCTTAACTGGAGGCAACACAACTTCAGCCCCTTATGCCCATTTTTAACCCTTCATCTGTCTCTAGCTTTAGACATAAATTGAGTCTTTTCAGTCAGATCTCAAAGGATCTATTTCCAAAACCCTTAATCATTTTAAAATGTCTTCCTTGAACCTTCTCCAAGTTCAGCACATCTGATTTTATTTGTTCTGTTAGATTTTCTTCAAGTAAAAAGATCAGGAAAAGAAAAGATCACTGGGCTGGCTCCTGCCCTAGATTACCCAGTCAGTTCACTATTAGAAGCGCTCAAATCCTACTGTCTCCAAATAGGAGGATATGTGATTTTCTTTTTTAATATTTTCACTAGATAGAGGTATAATAGAAAGAGAATGAGTGTCCCATACCACTCCCTAGCAACCAACCAGAGACTGCTCTCACATATACCAGACATACTATTCATTTCATCAAGACATCAAAGCAAAGATAACACTTATTATTCAAAAAAAGTCATAGGTCATGAATTCATAAGCAATGTTTATATTCTTCTGTATCTATCACCTAGCCTGTCCCTGGCTTATAGTGGTTATGCAATATTAATTTGTCCAGTGAAATCAACCCCTGGGATATGGGTGATCAATAAATATTACTTTTCATCCTTTACTTTAGCATTGATTTTTCCAAAGAGTATAAAACACTTCATAAACATTTAGATGTTTCA